GCATCAATCCGAGGTGCTCGCCCGTTAAGCAATAGTCAGATGCCGGTCCCGATCGCACACAGATGGCGGCCTGATGAAAACACAAAGTCTCACCTGGTTTGGTCGCTCAGCTCCGGTGATTACCCTCCTGTTGCGCGAGCAGCCAGCTAGCTGTCTGCTCACCGCTTGAACACGGCCTGTCCAAGCTTCTCAATCTCTCTCCCTTCAGACGTGTTCTTCCCTGCCGCCTCGAGCAGCCGTGCCCACGCCTCCGCGTCCTTGGTCCGCACCGCTTCCTCTGCCGCCTTGACTCGCATGCCGCACTTCTCATACATGGTCACCGTGGACCCGGGCTCAAGCCCTGTACACTTGGGGATGAAGGCCGCGGCCAGTTTGGGATTGCCAGCTTGTAGGGTCAAATTAAAAAATGGCTGGCTTGTCAGTAATCGGCTTGTACAGAGTTCGAGGTGACACGACGTACCTCCCAGCCAATAGGACTCTTCTTCGTCTTGGACAGCTCCTCAATCTCGTTCCAGTCACGCTTTGCAACCAACGCACGGAGACTGGCCAAAGTGTCAGCGAATGAAACACAAGAGAAGAGAGAGGAAGGAGTGCATACCGAATCCACCACGCGACCCGGTCCGGTACCTTGAACTCGTTTTGAATCTTCTTCGCACGACCGTGATAGCCCAACCGAATCAGCTTAAACATGGTGTCATTGACGCTCAACCCAGTAAACGAGTCCGTCAGATCTCGGTCAAAGGACTCTTGTACCCTCAGGAGTGTCGTCGCTTCCTTCAACGCGCGGACCTCAAACGAAGACTCCTTTGAATCGGACAGCAGTTTCGCAGCCAAGGCCAGCTTGTCAGCCGCCGTGCGGGCATCGGGCTGGTGGAGCGACTCCCGCACGAAGACGCCGGCACCGTCGATGCGGCGATCATCCTGGTAGTAAAGGTCCTTGAGGAGGGCGTTGTCGGCTTCTCGGGCAGCGGAAGCCTCGACGAGAGCTGTGGCGGCAGGGCGAGCGTTGATGACGCGGAAGAAGGCGGCCAGGGGCAATTTCTTCTTCATCTCGAGAAGGACGGTCAGCGTGAGGTCCGAGTCGCCACTCTCAATGGCTTTGTCGAGGGCAAGCTCATCCTCTTCCATGCTCAGGAGGAGAGGCACCTGGCGGCCGCCGCGTGGTTCGTGGTTGAGCAGCTCGGTCGCGAGACGGCTGCGACCCTCGTCGTAGGCGGCGCGGGCTATTTCTTCAAAAGAAATGCCTGGCTTTCCCGACAGGCGGTCGACAATCATGCGGCAGATCGTGTCGTCATCTTCAGTCCCGGCGCGAACTTTTGCTGAAGCCCAATGGACGTAGATACGGTCTGTGGGTAGGTGGAGGTATCCAGCAATCTTCAAGGCGAGAAGGTACTCGTGACGACTGAGCAGTCTTTTGATGAGACCCTCTGGTGTGAGCCGCTGGTACTGCTCAAAAGAGAGGGGAAGTCCGACTTCGAAGAACCGCACAGCATTGAGAACACGAAGCGTCTCGCACATGTCGACGAAGTCATCACTGTTGTAAATGTCGAGCACCGACTTGCCAAAGGATGCAGCCTTGAGCAGCTGTT